TGTTTGTGTGCTGTTTTTTTTTTTGATCTGACACTTCCCTGCAGTTGGTCCCTTGAAGCTTCTTCCCACAGAGATGGATGATGCACATCACCATAGTTACTGGGGGGAAACTTGTTTTTTTTTCTGTAAGAAACTACAAGAAATTGCATCACTTTCTTAGTAAAACAAATTACAAAACTGACTCATTTCTGCCCAACTAGAAAATGTGGAGACCAGAAAGGGACAGGGGATATGTAATGTGAGGCATAGTGGATATTGCAGAAAAATATACCTAATTTGTTGGATCTGTTTTTAAGAAACTGTTTTTCAAAGCCTAAAACTTAGATATCATCAGAATAATGCAGATTTGGAATGTGAGATGTTGCTGATTGTTTAAGCATCTCTCGGTTGTCTTGTGCCGGTTCTGAAATTGATCACCATGTTTCCATACTGTCGTTTTGTTTGGAGCATGTTGTGTTCTGTAGTTGCAGCACTTCATCCTGACTGAGCCTTTAGGAGTTCAGGGCTGAGCAGGGGAGAGTTAATCTATTGATGCACATGAATACAGTCTCGTGTTTTCTTTTCATCAAGTCAGATAAGAGAATTATGCTCTCTGCCAGAGGACACCACCAGTAAAGGAGAATATTATAGCTCAGGGTTGAAATGAGGGGTCCCTGGTGCTCTCTGAGCTTGGTTGTTTTCTTGCAGACATTTCATTATCCAAATTAGGTAACCTCATCAGTGCGGGAAGGGGCTTGTATGTAAACAGAGATCAAACCCCTTCAAGTACTGATGATGTTATCTAGTTGGATAATGAAACGTCTGCAAGAAAAGGTTGAAAAGTCAGAAAGCACCAAGGACCCCTGTACCATCAAATACCAAGCTTTTCTCACCCAAAATACAGGGATTCTGATTTTGCAAATTTGGGGCTGCCCTGGTTCACTGAGGATCCAAGGGGGCCTGTGCTTTAAGAGTAACATGGACCGCTCCGTATCTCTCCTCAGCCCTCTTAACAAAGCAGCTGGGGGAGAAAGGGAGTGATTCAGAAACTGTGGCTTTCTTCCCAAAAAGCCCTGAAGGCAGCCCTGAAGAGGAAACTCCTGTTCTGTGGGTGGGGGGAGCAGTCTGAGGCAGAGCCAAGAGGAAAGGATCAGTGTATTGACCAAGGCTTTGGCGGCATCACATACTTCATAGCAAGGATATTTTAAATGCTTCCCCACATTTAACACTAAAGCCATTTTAGAAATCTGTATTTCTTTGAAAGGAAGATTACACATTCATTATTGTAGATCTGCCTGATGTGGTTTTGGGGGGAAACTTCAACTAAGTGTGTCTAAATCCAACTGGTTTTACTGTCCTGGGAAATACAGACCCCAAGCCCACAAGGTCCCAGGTGGAGGGTGGCTTGCTTGTTCTTATAACCAGCCACGGACATGGAGGAATACATTTCCCAAATGGAAATGACCCATGTGCTCTTCAGCTGTGGGGCTTGCAACAGGTTTTCTGTTACGGGAAGTGACTCATGCTGCCTTGTTGGAAACCTCGTAAAAGACTCTTGCCAACTCCATGTTCCAGTTAGCATGTTCTGTGGTCTCGTGGGGTATCTTCCGTTCACTCTTGCCCCACAGATGACTTCAGAGCCTGTGAAGCCTCACTCAGATGTTGAATGCCCTTTATGGCCTAATGGGATGCCTCAATACAAACTAGGGTTAATGTTGAAAGATATTGAGACTCTGGAAAGAGTGCAGAGAACAGCAGTACAGATGATTAGAAGACTGAAGGGCAAAGCATGCAGTGAATGGTTTAGGGGATTGGTTACATCTATTCTAATGAAAAGAAGGACTAGGGGTGACATGGCAGCAGGGTTCCAATCTTTGAGGAGATGTTATAGAGAGGGCGTCAAGCTATTTTCCAAAGCGCTCAAGGGCAGAACAAGAAGTAATGGATGGAACTTATCAAAGAGAAATCCAACCTAAAACTAAGGAGAAATTTCCTGACGGTGAGATTGGACAGCCATTTGTCTCCTGTTTGAACAGAGGTTTGGACTAGAAGACCTCCAAAGTCCCTTCCAACTCTGTTATTATATGTACTATGTTCTATATCAGTGATTGGCTGTTGATAGCATTTTAGAAAAGGCAAAATCTACTATACTATATCTACTAATGGAAGAGTTCAATAATAGATGTTATGTTACTGTGGCTTTTGTGGTAGCTTACAATAAAAGTGTGCATTGTCCATTTTATAGTAGTGACACCATTAGTAAACCAGTGACTATTGATAAGTGTAAAATACTGTATAAGATAGATTTTTGTCTTCGTATGTCTTTTTTCCCTTAGTCTGATTCAATGTTTGAAGTTGTCTTTTTTCTATTTTTTTTTATTAAGATTAAATATTATTTTGTTAATGGTGTACAAATAAAATAAATGAACAACAAAGAATTGGGGAGCAGATTCCAATTTCCATTGGGATCAATGGAAATTAAGTCCAGCATCAATTTTCAAATTCAAAATCTCCTTTAATTATTTACAGAACATTAGAGTTGGAAGGGATCTTGGAGATCTTCTAGTCCAGCCCCCTGCTCAAGCTGGAGACCCTATACCATTCTGTACAAATGACTGTCCAGTCTCTTCTTAAAAGCCTCCAGTGATGGAGCACCCAGAACTTCTGAAGTCAAGCCATTCCACTGGTTAATTGTTCTCACTGTCAGAAAATTTCTCCTTTGTTCTAGGTTGCTTCTCTCCTTGATCAGTTTCCATCCATTGTTCCTTGTCTTGCCACCTGGTGCTTTGGAGAATAGGTCGAACCCCCTCATTTTTGTGGCAACCCTTCAAATATTGGAACACTGCTATCACATCACCCCTAGTCTAGACTAGACCTACTCAATTCCTGCAACCATTCTTCATATGTTTTAGCCTCCAACCCCCTAATAATTTTTGTTGCTCTTCTCTGCACTCTTTCCAGAGTCTCAACATCATTTTTAATATTGTGACGACCAAAACTGGATGCAATATTCCAAGTGTGGTCTTACTAAGGCTTTGTAAAGCAGTACTAACACTTCACATGATCTTGACTCGATGACTCTGTTTAGTAGAAATTGTAATGAATATAGGCTTCTCAGATGTCACAAAGAAGATTATGTAGTCTTAGACAGTTAAACAGAGCAAAGAAACAATCTTATAGATTTTGTGGCTTATTAAAAATCATTTTAAATGAATTTAAATAAGCCATTGAGAATTAACAATTAAACCAATTATAAATTCATAAATCAAAATGGAGGTGTACCATATTTGGATCCAAACCAGGTGGCAGTGTTTGGATCCAGCTGGCACTCTTGCTGTACCTGTTGGACATTCATTAAGAGCTACCGTTTTTCCTGATCTCCCATCATGGTCACATGGACTCTGGAAAACATATATTTGGATTCATGAGGCACCCAGGAGGTAGTAACAGTGCAGTGATGTGGGTTACCACCCCCTTAGCCCAAATGAAGCCACTGTAGCAGGGAGAGAGCAAACAGCAAACCCACATTCTCCTCCTTGTCTCTCAAGGAAGCTCACTCACTTTTTCTGTTATTTCTGTTATTTCTCTATCCAACCATTCATGCCAGCTAGCATGAATGATTTGGGAGTTTTTTCATGGATCATATGCACTGATTTTTTTCCCTCAACAGCTAGGGATATGCCTCTTATCTAAGGATCTCATCTTCTAGCCTGAACCTAAATTTTATAGCCATGTCCATGCAGACGACAACCAGATGACTGCAAAGATATGTGACCCTTCTGACCCTACCCTCATCCTGTCAGAACTAATCCTTCCATCACTCCCATTATTCTGCCAGGACTGGTGCAGCTTCTTGGATGAATAACAGAATAGCAGAGTTGGAAGGGATCTTATAGGTCATCCAGTCCAACACCCACCCACCCCCAGGCAATCATGGTGTACTTAATCACCTCCTCACCAATCCATTGTGATACTAAAAACTGGTAGCACCTTGAAAGTAATTTCTTTTCGATTCCCAGATAGTTAGATTTTATCTAACTCCTGTAGTGACCTATAGATTCCCTCCTTTCTTTTGTCCCTTCTGACACTTGACTGTATTTGGGCGTAAGCCCACCAATCTACCTTCTTGCCCTGGTTCACAAGTTCCTCATGGGTTTTCAACTCCCCTTGGGGATCAAGCAAGTCCTGATAGGTCAATGAGATTTCCTTATTATATAGTGTCGAGTGTGTTACCGCCTCTAGTGGGGCGAACCAAATCGGGATCATTGAATAATACCTGTTCCTAACCCCTTCCCAAGATTCTATAAGATTCTCCGAAGATAGAGTCTCTTAAAGTGTCCACATTTCTTGCCCCTCTCTGTCCATAAGAAGTGGTGCCACCCTCGGCACAAATCATAACCCTCCAATGTAAGAGTCCTCTTCCTATTTAAAAGCATCCAATCTCTAATCCAAGTTAAATTAGCCGCTTTGATAGTAGAACTAGTAGAATCCTAAAGACAAGCTCAAAAAGTTCCAAAAACTTGAACAATGGGCCCTGTCCAACACAATGAATTTAATGTGTATAAAAGCAATTTTTTACATTTAGGCAGGAAAAACCAAAGGTATAAGTACAGATTAGGCGAGACCTGGCTCAAAAACAGTAACTGTGAAAGGGAGCTTGGAATCCTAGTGGATATGAGCCAGCAGAGTGCAGCAGCAGCCAAAAAAGCTAATACAGTCCTGGGTTGTATAAACAGAGGCTACTCTAAAGAAAAGAAGAATTAGGAATGACATGATAGCTGCATTCCAGTATTTGAGGGGCTGCCACACAAAGAAGAGGGGTCAAATTATTCTCCAAAGCACTGGGGGTCAGAACAAGAAACATTGGTTGGAAATCTATCAAAGAGAAAAACAATCTGGAGTTAAGGAGAAACTTCGTAACAGTGAGGACAAATAACCAGCGGAACAGAAGTTCTAGTTTGATTGTGAATGAGTTGGCTTTCTTCATGCTAACTGAACACACCTGCCTTCCTTTGTCACAGAACCTATGAACTTCCCTTTCATCGTGAGCCTCATGAACAAGCCTCCCACAACTCACACTACCGCTAATGCCAAGCTTCTGAGATCTCCCACTTATAGTGGTAATCCACCAAATTAACAAATTCTGGTAGAGACTTCAAGATATTGCTACTCTTGAGATACTGAAATCTGGGCCAAGAAGAGGATGATATAAGCTTTGTGAAGAGAACGGTTGTATTGTTAATTCTTCTAGATTTCTAGCAGCTTTTGATTCCCACCAAGAATGGTGTCCTAAAAGAAGAGGCGGCTGAGATGGGAACAGTGGTCAAGGTATTCTATTAATTTATACTAAACTGACTTATTTCAGATGGTATAAGAAATTTATGATGCTAAGTCCCACAGAATTCCTATTCAACAACTCTATGGGAGTTTTGGGAGATCTTATTTAAATATTTGGGATCTTGAGCCATTATTCTAACCTCAAACAAAACAAGAAAGAATTGTTTGCCATATTTGTTTGTTTGTTTGTTTTAAAAAAGTTGTATGGCCACCCATCTTAAAACACAACTCTAAGTGACTCACAAGAACAATAAAACCTAGAACTATAAGAAAACCCATAAAACATAAAATCATAAAACCAAGACAAAATCTGGTGCCTGGTGCCCCTTGAATCCCCGATGAGGTGAGTTGTTCCATAAGACAGGGGCAGCCACAGGAAATGCAGGTCCCTCTAGAGGGCAGGATTTCAGGGAAGGGACCTGGAATGTGCCTATCGTATCCAATCCGGTAAGACAGGCAAGTATGCTCAGGGCAGAATGGGGCTTTTCGTCTGCTACCCTTGGCCGCGCCTGCTTCTCCGACAGGCTTTCGCCTCGGGGTTATTCGCCTCTAGCTTTTCTCCTTGGCTGACATGCCCCCGGCCAGTTGGCCCCAGTCCCTCTGTCCCACATGCTTCGGCATGGCCCATTCAATGCCACACCCTTCGCCCCAGGCTTTTAGCCTTCTGGGATGGTTAGCCACCAGCCAATTGGCTAACTGCCAATGCTAGCAGCCAGAAGCCCGGGGGAGGGGGGGAAGGGAAGGGGGGGGGGGGGGGGGGGCGGATGGTAAGGAGGCTTCATCCAAAGGAGTTTTTGTTTTGGATGGGTATCCTAGCCTTAGAAAGAGAGAGGGAAGGAGGAAGGGAAGGGAGAAAGAGAGAGACAGTCAGAGAGAGAGAGAGAGAGAGAGAGAGAGAGATGGGAGACAAGAAAGAGAAAAGAAAGAGAAAAGAAAAGGAGCCTTGATAGTACAGTGGTCTAAGCACCCTGTTATTAACACAGCTGCCTGCAATTACTGCAGGTTCGAATCTCTCCAAGGCTCAAGGTTGACTCAGCCTTCTGTTGGAAGAAACATCCTTCTGGGTTCTGCTCCAAGTGGGGAAAACAGACACTGGAAACATGGAGACTGCTTGGAAAGATGGTTTAATGGTGGACAGGATCACATGGCTTGAGTTCCTGAACAGAAAAGGGGCAGATACAGCGAGTCCCTGGGTTTTTATGCTCTCCCTGGCTCTGAACTTCCTGGGGCCCCGAAAGAGTATCCTGATTGGTTGTCAGACTCCCAGGGGGTGGGGGCCTTGCTAGCTGATGGCCACATGTGCTTCCCAGGTCACATGTGGTGAGTTTCTGCTGCTATTGTGTAGAGGGCTAATCCTATCTTTGTTGGATCTTTGGCAATTCCTACTATGGCTCTGCCTGAAGGAGGTAGATCTTTGTTATGTAGAATAGACTGGCCCAGGCCTTTATGGCCCATTGACAAAGGGTGGGGGCAGGAAGATGGGAGCTGCTTCAAAACATGCTTATCCCAGGGAAATATAATATTCTGCCTTTTTCATATTTCCTAAAATATTTCACTCTTCCAGGAGAGGGGTGGGTGCTAACTTCCTACACTTCCATCCTTTCTAAGGTAGGTGAAATGAGGACCCAGTTTGTGGGGGCAATAAGATGACTTTGTATAAATATATACAAAAGTATGAAGGCTATTGCTTAACACAATGTAAGCCGCCCTGAGTCTCTGGAGAAGGGCGGCATATAAATCAAATAAAAAAAGAAAAGAAAAGAAATGATGAACGGTTGAAGGAACTGGGCCTGGCTAGTCTAGTGAAGAGAAGGACCAGGGGAGACATGATAGCAGTGTTCCAATATTTGAGGGGCGGCCACAGAGAGGAGGGGGGTCAACCTATTTTCCAAGGCACCCGAAGGCCAGACAAGGAACAATGGATGGAAACTGATCAAGGAGAGATTCAACCTAGAAATAAGGAGAAATTTTCTGACAGTGAGAACAATCAACCAATGGAACAGAAGTTGCCTTTGGAAGTTGTGGCAGCTTTATCACTGGAGTCTTTCAAGAAGAAATTGGACTGCCATTTGTCAGAAATGGTGTAGGGTCTCCTGGTTGGGCGAGGGGTTGGACTAGATAACCTACAAGATCCCTTCCAACTCGGTTAATCTAATCTAAACAATTTGCTTCAGAACTATATCCAAGCCAGAACCCATCCTGAAAAGGAGCCAACTAATCCATTTCACCCTCTGAAGTTGAGGGCCAAACACTTTCTCAAGAACCTGCACCCAAAAGGTTGGAGACTGGACAAATTGTATAATATGTTTGGTTCCAAGGATGGCCCTGTGAGAAGGAGGGGTACCACTGCTCCCCTCAAAGAATCATTAGCCACCATTTGGCCCCAGCCACATGCCATCTCCTGGGGGACCTTAATTAACATGACAGGTGGCCAATCCACAACCCCATCTACTTCCTCAGGATCAACTGGCTCAAAGTCCTCCCAGATAACAGGCCTCACTCACCTCCCCACCTGGCGAGTCCTAATAGAGGTTCTTAGCTGCCCTTGGCTAAAGTTCACTCATTATCTTCCCAGTGGTGCTCTAAGCGTCTTTTTTTAAAAAAATTTGATTTATATGCCGCCCTTCTCCGGAGACTCAGAGCGGCTTACAATGCATTAAGCAATAGCCTTCATACTTTTGTATATGTATACAAAGTCAGTTTATTGCCCCCACAATCTGGGTCCTCATTTTACCTACCTTAGAAAGGATGGAAGGCTGAGTCAACCTTGAGCCTGGTAAGATTTGAACTTGCAGTAATTGCAGGCAGCAGATGTAAGTGCATGTTAATTAGTCTGCTGAGCCACCAGAGCTCCTTTGGTGTTGTGAGCCTTTGATGGTCTCAGATTAGGAATTTTGCCTTTTCTGAATAAAGTTGCATGCCTATTTGTGTATTTTTTTATTCTCTGTTGTATACCTGCTTTATAATAATTGCCCATCCCTTTCCCAAAGATCTCAAACTAAAATCTTTCTTAGGTGTTCCACATTGGAAAAGGATGCACATTGCACAAAATCTGTCAAACAAGGAAGACTGTCCTCTGCCTTTTATTGTACTCGCAAAAGTAACAAGCAGGGCCAGGGTAAAACTATATCTCATTTTGTTTACATTTATGTTGTATCCAAATTAAGTACAGAGATCATTATTTCAGCCAAAGAATTGTTGTCCCCTTCTGTCACATTAAACATTTCTCTTTTGCTAACAACTCTTGGGCACCTCTGAGGACTGTACCCAAGGCTTGGAGGACTTGCCCATAACTTCTGCATCACACATTCAAGAGATTAACGTTATCCACAAAATTTCTGCATTGTATTATCTCATTATCCTGGGGAAAAAAGCACATTTTAAAAATCAGAGTTGAAAGAGTGTAGCTAAAAAATCTCTAGAGTGATTTCTATGAATCACTATCACTCAGGACAAATAACGGAATAACAGATTGGAAGGGACCTTAGAGGTCCTTTAGTCCAACCCCCTGCTCAGGCAGAAGACACTAGCAGGAGTAGAGTAGTTCTAGAATGACTTGAAGCAAATCAGATCAATGGAATACATCAGTGGTGAGTTTCAAAAAATTTTACTACCGGTTCTGTGGGTGTGGCTTGGTGGGTGTGGCATGATTGGTGGGCATGGCTTGGTGGGCATGGCAGGGGAAGGATACTGTAAAATCTCCACTCCCACCCCACTTCAGGGGAAGGTTACTGCAAAAATCCCCATTCCCTCCCAATCAGCTGGGACTTGGGAGGCAGAAAATAGATGGGGTAGCACCAATCAGAATTTTTACTACCAGTTCTCTGAACTACTCAGAATTTCTGCTACCGGTTCTCCAGAACTGGTCAGAACCTGCTGAAACCCACCTCTGCAATACATGCTCTCTGCACACCCCCAACTTTCAACTATCGTCAGCAAGCGAGGAAGTGTTTTAGATTACACCTAGTCCTTGACTTACAACCATTTGTTTCATGACCGTTCAAAGTTACAACACACTGAAAAAGTGACATGACCGTTTTCCACACTTACAACCATTGCCACATCCCCGTGGTCTCATGACCAAAATTCAGACCCTTAGCAACGGGCTTGTATTTATGATGGTCGCAGTGTCCGGGACTCATGTAATTGCCTTCTTGACCTTCTGGCAAGCAAAATTAATGAGGAAGCCACATTCACTTAATAACCATGTTACTAATGTAACAGCAGCAGTGGTTCACTTAACAACTGTGGCAAGAAACATTGTAAAATGGGGAAAAGCTCACTTAACAATGTCTTGCTTAACAACAGAAATCTTGGGCCCAGTTGTGGTCCTAAGTCAAGAACTAATTGTATAAAACTGAGATTCAATTTAGGCCTGGAAATTGATCGACTCTGCCCTTCAGGTTCTGGGAATTGCTGCTCCAAAAAAGTTGAAAGTCCCATTTCTGTAAAAATTGACAGAATTTTTTCTCTGAAATTGTGGGTAAGATAGCACCTGAACATTTTCTGCATGTGCATTTTTTTCAGCTTGACATAACGGGGCAATATTTAAACCAGCCCTCATTTCTCCAACATTCTGTCTGGCTGCCTGGTGTTTTCTTTTCCTTCCATGAAAGGTGGTCTAAGGCAGATCATTCCAAAGGATCTGCCTGCATTCCTGCCCCTGATATAAAAACCTGATCCATGGAATCCATAGGATCTTTGGAAAGACTATCTGCCCTAAAGTTCTTGTACGAGGTACAGAGTTCACCTGATGAACCCAACACTTCCATGGCCAGGGCACCAGATGATTGTATGTCTGAGGACTAGCTTCTTTCCTCTCAAAGGCTAGTGGAAACCACTCCTGCCTGCAATGAGCATACCACCAAATTATGTAATAAACAACTTCTTGCTCAGGAAGTGAAACTTTGCTGGTCGTGTGGAATTGGGCAATAAGCTTGTTTTTCCCAATCACGACCCGTCCTTTCCATTGAGGGCCCTGAGGAGAGGGGAGGCTTGCCCCTTTGGCCAGACCTTCTCTTGCCTTCTGCAGTCCCAGCTCTCTCCCGGCAGGACATGGGTCGGCTTTGCATCTTGCCTATGAGTAACAGCTTTGCATTTGAGGGCAGCCGAGGCTCCATTCACACGACAGACTCAACCAGGTTTCTGAATTGAGTATTTTTTCTAGAATGACCAGATAATAATTAGAGGGACCCGATTCGCCCAACGCCTACAAGAAATAAAAACCTTTCAGTTAACACCTACTGAACCAGGGCAGATGGGCAGAAGCCTCGGCTGGATCCAGACTTGTCTTGGTTAAGGGTGTCATTTGAACGCAACCAGGTTATAGGTGGTCCTTGACTTACAACCGTTCATTTAGTGACTATTCAAAGTTACAACGGCACTGAAAAAAGAGCCCTACGGCCGTTTTTTCCGCTTACAAATGTTGCAGCATCCCTGTGGTCACATGATTAAAATCCAGACCCTGCCATGTGTCGTGTGTGCAGACTCATGCAATCACCTTTTACAGTCCTCTGACAAGGAAACTCAATGGGGAAGATAGATTCACTTTACAACTGTGTGTTGCTAACTTAACAACTACAGTGATTCACTTAACAACTGTGGCAAGAAAGATAGCAAGACGAGGCAAAACTCACTTAAAACTGTCTCACTTAGCAATGGAAATTTTGGGCTCAATTGCGGTCCTAATTTG